ATGATCAGATAAAGCAGAGAAATCACAAATTCATCATTTAAGGAGCAACAAAGTAGTCTTCCAATTTACATATCTGCATGAAATAACAAATTCAGTTTTATCTTCTAAGAGCTACCTCATTCTCGGGTGTTCTCCTAAACAAGCAGTATTCAGCCATCTTGGTGGAAATCCTGTAGTCAAAACATCTCATGAGTGTTCATCCAAATTCTTCCACCTGATTCTTAGCTGCAAAGTGCAGCTAAGTTACAACACAACTGCTTGTGACTACAAATTGCTCCCATCCTGTTGTGCCTTGGTCCTACAGGATTCCAGAGCACATTATCAGCAGCATGCCTGGTATCTGTGACCAGCTGAGTAATCATGGAGGCTTCTGGGACTCAACTACCTGTGAAAGATAAAAGGTTTACGAAGTAGTTCAGAAGAGAATGCAAGAGTTCTGAAGCCTTAATGGATTGAGGTTTACTCCAGTCAAATCTTACTAGATTTCCTCCTTTATGCTTACAAACAACACTTCCTAACAAAGTAGGACTCACTTTACACATCAAGACACCTAATATTTGGTGTCTACCATGAGTTAACAGACATTTATAGTGCCTACAGCCAAACAGACAAATTCAGATCATAACTGTAAATTACTTTCTCGAGTTTAGGTAAGGGCCAGTGATAGCCACTGACAACTGTGGAACTCAAACACAGGAATTTCTCTTATCCTGAACTAAATTGTACTTTTCATGAACTGGTTCTTTCCCTCAAATACATTCAGAAATAAGACACAACATCTTGTACAGCATTCACGTGTAGTCTCAAAACATTTCTCAGCCATGAGTAAATTACTACATAGTTCACTACCCTTGTTTAATAGCAGGCTGTAAGGAAAATAAGATTGAGAAATACTTAATGATAAAACACCGCTGCTGCAGATATAAGGAGGCAGTTTGAGGACACTGACTTGCTCTGAAAAGTCCCACCTGACCCAATCCTGTGAAAATCGCTTTTGTAGGCCCAAATTTGGTTCAGAGGGAACAGTTAAAAATCAGTGTAATTCTCAGGTTAGCCCTGACACACTGCTTAGGGATATGACTACAGTGGATACTAATGAGGCATCTGAAAAAGTTGCATGGTTTTGGATAGAATAGGACCGACACACAGAAATTCAGGCTCAACTCAACATCTTGTGTTTCACAGGACCCTACCCCTTTCCCTCTGTATTCTCCTTCCGCATCTCGCTTAAGCCCAGATGCAAACATGAAGCAATCAGCACATCTAAACAGATGACTAACTTCCTCTCATCTCTTCAAGAGATAACTCCTTTTCAAACTACAGCCTCAGCTTTTCTGCTACCCTCACAGGCGTGCAGCCTGCAGCATAACTCGAAGTGACAGAGCCCCAGTACTTCTCTGCCACACAAGGCCTCCAATTACTCTGACCTGTAGTCTGCTGTCAAGTCTTAGTTCATGTTATCATAAGCACAAGTAATCTTACAAGTCCCTTCTTGGAGAAATCTAATTCTTATCAATCAAGAACTAAAACTTCCATTTACGTTTTAATTGTTTAATCTGAAGCATTACTGAAACTTGTCCTTTGGCTCTGACATACAATCTCATTCTGGTCACATGCATTTTAAAAGCAGCCAAAATAGTTCTCTTGGTTTACTGTTGTGTCACTTCACTTTCTGCATTCTTTACCAGTTCCTGTTTACCACATTAACTACAGAAAGATCTTAGCAACTAGCTATCCCTAGCCTTGCTTTCTTATCCGAGTGTTCAGTCCCACTCCTAAGCACTATAAGATATCCAGACTCCATCGACCGCTTCCTCTGTTATCAATTACACAATTGCCATGTGGTTTTTTCTTTCCTGAGGTCTCTAAAAAGCATAAAACTGTTTCTGCAGAAAAAGTAATTCTACATCAGTGATGTTACTAATCACTATTAATCATGCAAATTAATGAAGTGTCGTCTTTATTAGAAAGAATTAATTGGACACCTACTATTTTATCCTTAAACCTATTCCTTAGGTCAAAACTAAAGCAAATTCAGCAAAATCATACAAGCTTAGCATAGCTATTAAAATATTCTGATAATATATACAAGAATCTCATAGCTCAGATTAGGATAAGCTTACACAGACTTAATTTTACATTATGATACAAATAAGATAAAGAACTACTAAAGGGAGTAAACTTCACACCTGACAGATAACAAACGTCACGTGCCTGAATGAAAATTAGTTAAATGCTTTTCATGTACCCATGCAGCAATGAAAGTCCTGCTTGACACCTACTGTAAGCAGTTCTACACTTGGCTTAGTATTTAAACTAAATTAGCTACAGCCTTAAATATAAGTCAATGGCTTGTTTTAGCACCTGACAAACTAGGCTTTCAAAGATAGTGCATCTGCTTACCAACTCAGACAAGCATTTTATATCTCAGCAAAATAATAATAATTATAAAAAAGCCAAGATCAGTAACCTTTACATGGATTTGACTACTAAACAATGAGATTCTCAGAGTACCAGTATAAAGGTATCAGCCCCACCAACACAAACACAATTATGGCTCTTCACCCACTTGTATCACATCTATCAGTCATAATGACTTAAGATGTCATTGAAATTATGTCAATACTGAATTTCATAGGTTGTGAACACTCAATCAGTATGATTAATTGAATTGCTTTTCCACAGAATAAAAATCTGAGTAGTGCAATCTCAATGTAGCTGCCTTGTAACCAGTCCAAGACAACCAAAGGCACGTCTGTTGAAGTAGATCAGGTCCAGAAAGCCACGTGCTTTCTTAACCAAGACCCCCAAGCCTGTTTACAGCACTATGCCCTCCGCAAGAGCATCACAAGTTATTACTGTAAAAAGAGTATCTAGGATCATAGTCTCGTGTCTCAACTGCTCCTCTGGCACTCAATCACATAAACATAAGGTTATATAAAACATAACCTGAAGTGATACTGGGATGACAGAAACATCACGCACAGCATCAAACCCATGCATCACTTGCAGTCTGAGAACACAGCCAGACCAGTCTGCGTGAAAGCAAACTTGCAGCATCCTAAGAAACTCGCAAGATTTTTCTTCCCCTACGATTTATTAAGTTTTGCTAATGAATAATTCAAGCATGGATATTAAGAGATCAAATATCATGCATATTACAGCAAGAGGGCATTCATCAGCACAGCATGCTAACACTGAGTTACAGTTAAGCTAGAAGGTCAACAGTGCCAGGAGTGCACTTAGGCTCTGATCTGACATTTCGGATTCAAACCAGATAGCAGAGGTGGTGACCATCCCCAGGTGCCCATTCCACTCTTCTGATAGAGGCTGCCACTCTTGCAACAGAAATGCTAGATTTGTTCATGAATCACTTTCCAAACTGCCACCTTTTTGGCTCAGCCCAACGTGTTTGGTTTATCATCTCTGGAGCTTCTGGACTTGAGCTGTCAGGGATACAGCAGAGATGAACTACAACATGAGCCTATGCTTAACCTGGAGACTACACAGGGCAGGGGAGAAAAGGGAAGTGGCTGAGACAATTGGGAAATCTTTGACTGAAATGGCATCCAAAATTCAGTGAAAACCCTAAGAATGCCTAAATTCAGGAAAAACATGAAGCGAGACACATCTAAAAAGCTATCAACCCGCCACAAATCACATCACCCAGATACTATACAGATATTTGTCTCTAAAGTCTGCCTTAAGTGGTATTTACGCAGAAAAGTTGAGAATGTGAGTAGGTGAGTGTTAGAGCTGAGCATAACGTGTTTCCTTGACAAGAAAATCAGACTTGTAGAAAAACAAACTCACACAATTTCATGTGCTTTTTTAATTGTTTTTTTTTTTTTTTTGGCAAAGGAATCAAACACATGAAATGCGTGCCTGAAAAATAGCTTGATTACAGATTTCTTGCAGATTTATTACTTCACAAAAAGTCTCCTCTTGACGTGTTTCACGATCACATCTTTTGACCCATTCCAGTGTAATTACTATGACAGCATCCTATTTAACTCACCCAATGTCAACATCGCCTACTTCCTGCTCAGTTACTGCATCTCCTGCTTTCCTGCAGGAGTCGGTTTGATCAACAACACCATCTCAAAGTCCAGAGTTATGTAGAACCATTGAGACTGCCTTGCTTTCCTACTTCAAGGCACAAGCTCACGCTCATGACAAACCGTCACTGCATGACAGCAGGACGTCAGGTACCCGGCATTAGTAACCCAGCACTGCACACAAAGCATTGGAAGACGTTCAGGTGACAGTTCTGAGTGGCTTCAAGTGGCCATTTGAAAAAAAAGAAGAAAAAAAAAAAAAAAAAAGGAGCATTTATTCAAAAATATAGAAAAGAAAGTTTAAGATAAGCTGCATTTCTCCTAAAACATGGAGCTAACTTTTAAAGGCAGTTTCTGTAGCCGTTTTTAAAACACAGATGAGTACAACTCTACACTGAACTGCAAGAGGGTATTCTAAAAACGCAGAACTCGGCGACATACTTGGAGAACGCGTTCACCAGAAGCTTGTTCTCCTTAAATTGCCGCGTTGCCTTATTTTTGAGCCGAGAGCCGGAGGTGCAGCACCTGAGCACACGGACCTGCCCTCCGGGCCAAGTACGGAGCAGGGCAGGCCCGGCGCGGACACGGGCCTTCCTCCGCTCTGCCGTGCCGCGGGTTCAGCCGGGGCCGCGCCGAGCCCCCAGACCCCCGGCCAGCTCCCCCGCGGAGCTCAGCCCTTCACAGCACCCGCAGCCCCGGCCCAAGCGGCTCGGATCCCCGCGGAGAGGCGAGGCCGGGCCGAGGGTTCGCGCAGGCGGTCCCGCCGCCATTCATCGCGTCCCCCCTACGCTCCGGGCAGCGGCCGGGCCCCGCCGCCGAGCCCCCTCCGGGCAGCGAGCAGGGCCGGACAAACTTCCGGGCGAGAGCCGCGAACGGGGCAGGGAGGGAACGGGGCGGGGGGGAGGAGAGCTGGGCCGCTGGGAAGGACCGGGGCCGGGCAGCGCCGCCGCCCCTCGGCGCGGAACGGCTCGGCAGGCACTCACCACGCATTTCTTGCCGAGGAAGCTGAAGAGGCTCTCGTTCTCTTGCGGGGTGAGCAGCAGCGAGCCGACGTTGGTGACCCGCCGCGGCTGCGGGGGCTGCTGCGGGGCGCCGCTCATGGCCGGGCCGGCACGGCGCTGCCCTGCGACCGTTGGAGCCCGCGGCCCCCTACTCCTCCTCCTCCTCCTCCTCCTCCGCTGTGGCCTCGCTCACAGCAGCCGCATCGCGGAGCCTCCCTCTCGGGGCCGGGGAAGGAGGGAGGCGGAGGGGTAGGGGGGCCCGGAGAGCGGCCCGCGGGGGGGGGCGCCGGGCAGGAGGCAGCGCCGGGCAGGAGGCAGCCCCGGCGCCCGCAGCCGATGGCGCCCGCCCCTCCGAGCGGCACTAAACTTCCAACTTCGGCCCGGCTCCGGCGGCCGCACAATCCAACATGGCAGCGGGGGCGGGCGAGACCACAGCGCGCGGCAGCCAGAGGGGAGGCCGTGAGAGAGAGAGAGAGAGAGAGGGAGCGCGCCGCCGCCACGACCATGCGCCGTGCGGGCCGCCGCCGCCTTCCGCTCCCGCCCCTCCTCGCCAGCCAGCTGGCGCGGAGCGTTCCGCCTTGTCCTGCCCTGCCCTGCCCTTAGTACCTGCCCGGCCGGCCCGGCGGCTGCTGCGGGGCGGGGAGTGCGGCGGGTGGAGGAGGAAGGAGCGAGGAATGAGGAAGGGGTGCGGAGGGTTGCGGTGCTCCCGAGGCTGCGGGGACAGTTGGCCGGGCCCCTCGCTGCTGTAAAGCTCTCAGCCCCGGGTCTGAAAGCACGGACGGGGCCGCGGTGCGTTCGCTTAGGGAGTGAGGAGGTCTGTGCCAAGAGCCGTCAGAAAACGCCATTTGTGTTAAGTGAAGTTCGACAGCACAGCGAGCGGCCCGGCTCCATGCTGTGCGGCACCTCGGGAGCTGAGCTGCTGTCCAGTTTTGAGTCAAGCGTGGTCTAACTTGTAACTTAAAAACCTTAGTGACCTTTTGACATTGGAAGGGGAATGTCTCTTCTTGTGGTTCGCCATGCAAATTATCAATTGCGTTACCGCACGCTGTGTTACGTTGGGAGTTAATGATGCGTTCTTGCTGTGCAGAAGCAATTCCCTCTTTACACAGTCA